TTTTTGATCGGTCTATCAACATCATCTTTAGACCTAATACATTATACAAGGACAAATGAAGGTAGCTAACAGTGTTTTTTTATTTAAAAAGTAGATTAGGTTGAAGATTTTTTTTTTTTTTTTTTTTNTTTTTTTTTTTTTTTTTCCAAAGCGACATATGATATTATAAATCAAAATATACAAATATGTGAATACACAACAGCCAACGATTGAATACACAGCAACCAACAGCTGAAAAAGTAAGAGGACAGGTCAGAAGACCGCCTATAGTCCCGACTAACAACGCTAGACTAAAGCTCGCAACTAAATTAACTAACCAACTAAACCAATTAAAACAACTAAAACAAACTGAAAAGACCCCAACAGGGTAATACCCCTGTGTCGGATCCCAACGGGATAATAAGGTGACTGTTTGTCCCGTTTTTGTTGCTATTTTTGTTGCTATTTTGTGTGTTGTTTTCCCCCGTTTTAGGTCTTTTGTTAGGATTTTCCGGTCCTTTTTAGTCATTCTCGAGTTTTTAGTATTTTTTCGTTGTGTTTAGCATTTTCGTTGTTATTTCTTCTATTTTCCCTTGCTTTTGTGTCTGTTCGATGGTGGTTTTTCAGGTCTCCAGGAGTTCTGTGTCGTTTGCGAGATTGGAGCATTCGAGGATTGAGTTTCCAGCTCGAGATAAACCCGAGGGACGCTAGCCGAGACCACGTGAGCCCAAGTCGAGGAATTTTTGGAGCAGTCCAGGCCATAGCGCCGCTATGACCATAGCGCCGCTATGGCCTATTGAGAAAGCGGCGCTGGACACCAAAGCGAGGGGCAGAAGAGCAGTCCAGGCCATAGCGCCGCTATGGCCAACCCTGAAAGCGGCGCTGCATGCGTAGCGAGGGGCTGAGACTCGACTGTTTTCAACCATAGCGGCGCTATGGTCATAGCGCCGCTATGCCCCATTTTGTAACTGAAGCTATTTTCTCGGAATTTCGAATTGGGAGGCTTAAGGATCGCGTTTTCTTCATTTTTTAACATTCCCAGATTTTGAACAGTTTTTTACCCTAGAACACACTTTTCTTCTTACTTTTCATCTTGGATTTGGTCTTGGAGCATAAAAACTCCAATTTTCGTTTGGATTTTGGATTGCTCATGTTTGTTCAACATTGGATTCGAATTAATCGTAAGCACTTCTTTTCTTATTTGATATGATGATGTTTGCTTGGGTTGATGAATGTGTTGATGTTGAATCAATTATGAGTAGCTAAATTCGATAACTAGGGTTAGGGGATAATTGTTCCGGTTCAATTTCATTGATGCGAATGTTGATTGCTCGATCTAAATGAGTTAGGCTAAACCTAGGGTTGAATGTCTGATCATCATTTAATCTATTTAATCGATTTTAGAACCGAAAGGGGAAAAATCGATCGACCTCGGCTTGTTTAGAGTAGACTTGTTCGGAAACGTATTGTCTATGTGTTAATGAATTCGATAATTGCTCGTTTATGTTTATTCTCTTGTTTCGTGAGATATTGAGAATGAATCTCTAGATGAATTGGTTATTGTTTGTGCATTAGCTGAGTAATTGTTGCCCGTTTAATGTATTGAGAACCGGATACGATTGTCCCTGATACCCTAGTCTTTTCAAACTATTGGAATTTGTGTTTTAATTGAGAATTGGAATTGATTGTTTTGCCTTCATAATTACTTGCTTTACAATTAGTAGTCGTTAAATCAAAACATCAATCTTGAATTAGAGTGTTTAGGACTTTCTTTTATCTTTTTGTGTGATTGAATAACGTGCAAGATAATCCGGCCGACCTTCCTTGTGAAACGACCCGGTGTCGAATCTTTCGATTTTACTCCGGTAAAAATACTTACAACAGTGACACTCGGGTTCACAGGGGTCAAGGACCCAAACCAAAAAACACAAGGCCTAAACGAACAACTGAAACAAAACAACAAAAACAAAGAAAACTACAAATAAGAAGAGCCCTTCCACAACAAATCAACCGAACGAACAGTCGACCCAAAGGAGAATCCTAAGCTCGAGAAACTGCCGAAACTGCCGAAAAGCCTATCTGAAGCGGCAACCCTGGAACCAAACCCAACCTATGAGCAGACCCTCCCCTTCGCAAAAGCACAAGAAACCCAAATCACACCCCACAACACCAATGTCCCGAAACCGGCTAACACCACTAGCCAAACACGGGAGCACCGGCCTCCCACGGGCCCAACACCAGAGCCATAGAGGAAAGGGTTTGAAAAGGCACCTCAGCCCGCACGATGCACCAGCTGCCACACGGCCATCAACAATAGAGAAGAACGCAACCCCAGAAGACGGCTCCCGAAACTTCCAACGAAGGCCTAGCGGAAACCCCTTTGAAGACTGCAACCCACTCATGAAGATGACACACCCCTCGGCCAAAAGAGGAGCAAAATCCCCTACCCCACCTCCGTCGGCGCGAGCTCGACTAACACCACTAGTCGAAATCAACCGAGCATAGGCCCCCTGAACCCAAACCTGGAGGAACAGAAGAGGAGGGCGAGAAGGAGCCACAACCTCCGCCCCGACCATTCCGACACCAACGTCGCACCCGGCCAGAGCCACGCCAAGCCCCGACTAAA